TATTTAACATCAGGTTTTCCGGTTTTTATAACCTTTATGTCACATCATCCAATTAGCCGATATTATTGCACACAACTAAACTTTTATCGGATTATTTTCTTATYGAGTGATAATATTATATTGGTGGTGTGCGTTTAATAAATAATGCATTTTTTGATATTTTTAGGGCATTTAAATCCGAGCCCTAATGATGATATTATAATGAATAGAAATTTCCATTATCAATAAATAATTTTACTAGCCAAAATTGAGTTTTRAAAATGCTCATCATAAATTATTCTATATCCAATTTAATTTAAAAACTTACTAAAAAATTATATTTTGGCATTGACTTACTAGCACGTCTAGTCTTTAATGAATAACATGTTATTAATTAACATTTTTATATGAGTACATTGGCTACTGAATGCTGTTTAAATTAACTTAAACCTCAATATTATTAAAATATACTCAAATTAATTATAATAAAAATATGGATAGTGATCAAATGAAATAAAGTAGCAACTCTAAACATGCAGTAGGCATTTTTATGCAGTAGTCCTTTGTTCTTAGCTTCTAGGTGGGTATTCGCCATCTCCTCTGCGTAGAAGGCAACCAGGAAACCACTGCATAATTTTTTACTGTTACAAAAATATTACTAATGAAATCTGCCTAATTGTTTTTTTTTTWAAATAAAATAGGAACAAGACTTGTGTTTAAAAAAAACTTTAGTTTATTTTATACAATCATTTCAACCAACAACAGGTACAACTGGAACAGTAGGTACTGCTATTTCGGGCTTAGATTTAATATCACTGGTTGGTGCAATGGGTAGAATTTCTTCCTTAGGTTCCGCAACGCTGACATTGTCTGGCAAAGGCTTCTTTGGACCAAGTTTACCTGTTTGGTCCCACGGCAACATAATTTTAACCTTGATACCCAAAACTCCTGTAAAAATAAAGTTTATTAATAATTTTCATGAATTAAATATTAAATTGTATGATAATTACCTTGTCTTAACAAAACGTGTCTAGTAGCAACATTGACGTAATCATTGCATGGGTCACCACTGTGAATCATAAGTCCATCGACGAATTTCATTGATTTGGCACGCTGACCTCTTAATTTACCTGATACAACAACTTCACACCCTTTAGCCCCACTTTCCATGATGAACCTCAACACACCATAACACGCCCTCCTGACAGCTAGACCTCCAATCAACTTGTAACGTAAAGACTCTGCTTGGGCAACAGCACATAATCCACGTTGTGCTACTTTCTCAGCAAAAAGTTCAACTGCCTTGTCTTTGAAGTCGAAACGTTTTTGGATGAGAGATGTAAGCTCGCGAATACGGCGTCCCTTGTCACCCAATACGTTTTGGGTACGTGTTGCAGAAATAACAATTTCTGTACGTGAAGGAGCAGCACGGACATCAACCCCAGAATAACCATCTTCAGCAAGTTCTCGTGTCAAGAACTCGTTGAGTTCAGCACGTAACATACCATCAGACACAAACTAAAAATTAAATAAAATTTATATTATAAAAAAAAATTTAATCTTACATACAGGATAATAGCACTAGTTAATTGACAAGCGGGAATTTTGTTCGTACTGTATACCATTTCTTAAATAGGGGAAAAGATACTTTGAATGTACACCTCTGTAGGAGTCTTAATAAATAAACCTGTMAACTTCACCAATTTAAAATTGTAATTAACGGAATACCAGTAAAGTACAAACCATATGATAACCAAAATTACAAATTCAAATTTCATCTCAATAATATTYTGTCAAATAACATTTCAATGTATTATTAAGTACTWTTGTCAAAATAAGTCATCGCACTGGTGCATTACCCTAGGTTAGGTTAACATTGATCATCCAATTCAACTAATTAAACTTTAGTTARTTGATACAGCTATAAGCTTTAAATCAATAAGTAATAATTAATGTTTAAAGCAATTAATATGTTAAAAATGATATTGACAGGTACAATTTGCTTTCATATAAAAAGAAAGATGCACTTCATTAATAGCATATGATAACCGACACATGCAGTGAAAACATCTACTCAAAAAACAATAAACCAACTAATACTTTCTATGTCAAATTGTTTAAGAACTTTAATAAGAAATAATGTTTTGTGACATATTGATTATAATACTAGTTATTCAAGTAAATATAAAAGAAATAATGAACATGCTAGGTGCAYAATATACTCACCCTTTTCTTAACAGAAGTCGTTTTAGCTGGCATCTTTTCTAAAAAATAATGTATGTCATTTAAAGTATATGAAATGGAGATTCTAATGCAATATAAAATCTCTAAAATCTTACCTTTTTAATTATTTCCAAGGGTCGATGGAAAAAAAGAACTTGACGGCACGCTACAATTTTCAGGACGTAGTACAAATGGCCTTAAAAATGTTAACCAAACAATTTCCTTGATGAAATGCCAACATTACAGTGTAACCAACACAATTTTAGTCTGCTATAGAAAGTATAGTTCAATATAAGACATACAGATAGCAATATAGCATAGCATGAATGCATGATAGCATATTTTACAAAATGATTATTAATTGCATTATTACATTATTACATTATTAATTACATCTATTGTTCTGTGTTAATTGTAGACTGTAGTTTTAATTATTATCATAACCGGAAACCGGTCCACTTTGAACAATATGATCCTAATCCTGACCATTTAAACTCGATGCTACTCATGCTAGTGATCATGAACTAAGAAGTTAGAAAATACCTATAATCTACATTCTATATCTTCTTAGACTCTTTAGTTCATGCTGATGATCAATTTTAGTTAGAGAATCWCTACTCAGTGTCTCACAAAGACACAAACGTCAAACACCAACTTACTACTACAAGTCACGATCGTCAATTACGAACAAAGAACTAAGATTAAGATATATGATCTTAAATTCTTAACCACTGTCACTGTCACAACTCAACTCGCTACTCACTAGTTGTCTACTTATAAGTCAGTTAAAGTTAAAAAATAAATACTGACAAGTTTAACATTATTAATTAAATTTTACCTACCTGCTGATGAAGTATTTCGTCATAATATTTAATTTAATTATTTACATATTATATATAATTTGTTGGATTGTGTACAATACCATTAATACCAATACCTATTCAATAACTGTTAACTAGGTAGGTACTAAATGAGTGATATTATGTATAAGTAGATACTAGGTATTGATTATAAATTTTGGTTTCATTAAAATATAATTAAGTGCAATTAAAATGAATTCTAAAATATTGTCAATAATTAATATTTTTAATAAAAATATGTATTATGAGAAAAAAAAGTGGGTAATTAACTCGAAATTTCACAATGCTAAATAGGTAGTTGTGCATTGATTAAATATAATAATAATATACATTATTTAGATAATATGCTTTTTAATGGTAAATGGTAATCATTAACTATTAATTGGTATCTGTTTACAATACATTATAATAATAATATACTTATTTCCATAATTAAATATAGGTATACTTAGTACTTTCTACTGCAATTGTATTTTTAGATTTGTTTAATCGATAAGAAATATGGAAAACATAATATGATATGATATTATGTTCTATTTCTACATTAAAAGTAAAATACTCATTAATTTACAGTTATCATGGCTTTATTTTTTATTTTTAACATATAAATCAGTCTAGTACTATTATAATAAGAGTACCTATATTCTAATTGGAACCTGGAAAGCGGGAAGAAGCAGGTAAACCAAAGTGTTAAGTGTCAAGTGGGTACTCGAGAGACGAGAGTTGTAAGTATTACTTTTAAGGCCTTKACACTTACAACTTACATGTTCTATATTATAATGATTAATGGGTGTGTCAGCAAATTACGATTAGTCTCCCCTTTAGTTTTGTTTTATACGGCCGTGTTGACGTGTTGTGACTTGTCGGGTTATTGTCTATCAGTTGATAATTTAATGAATGTATAATGTACCTAYAATCTACATATCTATGTACATAGTTAATAAAAACACTCAAATAATTATTATAATAAAACAATCTTATACCCTTGATAAATTTAAGAGGTATTTTGCTTGATAATTATCATTAAAATACTAAAAAAATAAAAATTAAATATTCATAAACTTATCAATTTAATTAACATTGAACATATAATATAATCATATTCTTAATGAGAAAAAGTAAGCATTGGTTATAGGGCACTGAAAAATATATTTTATAGTTTATACGATAGTTTGTTGGAATATACATGCTTTAATCATTTGCCTGTAATCATTATAAATGTACGGAAATTAAAAAATTAGAAAAAAAATTATTTTTACTGCAGTTATAATAATAACTATGTATTATTATAAGATCGTTATTCAAATTACTATACATTAGTCAGTTATTTACCTATCAAAATTTAAAAAATATAATTTCATGCAATTAATTATAAATTACTTATACAAAGCTAATAGATTTAGCTTTAGCATTTGAGTTATTTATTTATTTAGATAGATAAACGCCAAAGATGGCTTAAGTACAGCATAATGCCATAATATATAATATAACAACATTAACATACCAATAATAATAAATACAATAACATGATTTAACATACATTCCAAACTTTTATAAATTTTAACTTATTATAGRGTTCGTTATAATACAATTAAGAAGATATAATAAATAAGAATTTAGATAACAGTTAACTCATAAATATTCGGTGGATACTTACAAACTAAAGAAATCAATTCCGGATTCATTTAGTATATTAGTTTCAGTAGACCATCCAGATCTAAAACCATGTTGATTAGAACTGAATAGATTTTTAAATGGCAGAGATAAGATGGGTTCTAACATCAGTTTTTCGAAGAGTTTAGGTAAGGAAGAAAGTTCGGTCTGAAATTAGATATATTATTTTTAGGGCCAGACTTGTGTACAGGCGTAATGTAACTAAATTTCCAAGATAAAGGATATAATCCACTTGATAGAGACCTGTTGAAAAGGACAATTTCAGGAATTTTATCTGAACCAGGGTTACAATTTAGTATTTAAACTGTCCAAGCCTAAAAATATTTCTGACAGTGAGAACTGTATACTTGTTTATTACATCAGGTAACTGAGAGTTATAATTATTTGAATCTGGGGTATTGATAGAGTAAACCGAACTAAAGTAATATTTAAACAATTCAACTATTTCGGGACCATTCGATTTGCTAATATTATCAAGTTGAAAGTTCCATAAACATATGGTATATTATTATTGTTTTTTAATTTTTTAATGTAGCTCCAGAAAGTCTTAGGTTTGTCGTTTGTATAGATGTGATTGAATAGCATTGATATAATCTCTATAAATTGATTTAAATTCTATTTTGCMTTGAGCTCTTGGTTTGGAAAATTCGATATAGTATGAGCGATCATTTGTAGATTTAAATAATTTATAAAGACGTTTTTTATCGCAAATCATTTTTTAMAATTTTTTAGTATACCATTTAGGGAAAGTGCTTAGGAAAGGATTTAGGAATAAATAATTTTATTGAGTTATAAACTATATCATAAAATGTATCAACTGCTAAAGAAACATTATGATGAGAGGGTGACGTAGAAGAACTAAAGGCCAGTMAATGGAACATATTTATTCATATCATTATATTTACCAAGAGAAAAATTAAATTCACGATTTAATTTGTTTAGGTAGTCAGTAGAGATAATCTTAGGACCTATAATTTCAAGTGGGGTATGTGCAGWATCAATTTWAACAAATGGAAATGAGGTTTTAGAGACATTTAAGTTAGCATTATTAGATAATATTAAGTCTAGGATGTTAGAACAGTGGGTTTTAGTAAAATTATGTTGAAATAAATGCAGAAATATGACTAATTCTTTAATCAACTCAGATGTATTGGTCATCAAACCAGTAAGGATAACATGATCATCAGAGTTATCCAAGTGTATACCAGTTAAATTAAAATCACCAGCTAATATGAAGCTGTTATGTGTAGTATAGTAATGTTAAATCGGTTTACCTATAATTTATATCTACCCACAACCTATAAAGAAGTTTAAAATAAATTCGTATATTATGTAGTTGCTATTTTTTTTCGGTTTCATGAGTAATTTATTTTTTGGGATTCCTGCAATAGATTTAATTTACTAATAAAGAATGAAGGCAATATTTAGTTATTGATTATTATTTATCACGTAATTTATTTATTTTATTTTACTTAACTAGGTACTTCAGATGTTAGTTTATAATATATAGGTTCGAGCCACGAGGTACCGACTACCGGTAACTATAAAAAAAACTTGATTCTTGATAACTTGAAAGTTAAAGTATAGGTAGGTATATAAAGTAAAAGTTTCAATTTTAAAATAGGCACTGTACTGTCTATACTCTATACTATAACATTCAAAACAAGTAATACTCATATATTCTGAATCAGTATAATATTGACAGCATTCCATGTTTTAATATTGATTTGATTACAAATTGTTTTTAATGTAGATACATTAATATCCTGTGCTGCTGAGCAAATTGTTTCAACGACGAGTATTTTTTAATTTTATAAGTTATAATAGCCTGCTTAGTAAGGAATTAAGGACTCGGCTTACATAAAATGTTTACGTATATTGTATTTAAATATAATAATTGAAGTTCGAAAGCTTTATACTTTCTATAAAAAAGGGATTTCTCCCTCGAGGGTGGCATACTGTTTTATCTGATATATGTTTYTATATATATGTAGTATAAACAACGCTGAGTTACACGATCCCTTATCCCTATTCCCTTTCGCCTCAGCAACTCAGTATGCTTCATGACGTCAGTCCGAGTGCTCTATCGACTCTCTACAACAGATACGTTCTATTGTTCACAGAAAAAATAATGTTCAAATAAGTTAGTATATAATTTTACAAAAATTAAGGTTGGTRTTTATAATAGGTAACACTATATTTAGTTAGACATTAGTCAAATGCTTAAATAAATTATTTCTAAGATAGTAAAATACTTTACACAACTATAGAACTTTTTATTTTATATAATATACTCATTAAATTAATTATAATTATTCTCTGTAAATTTACTAAAATTACATTTAATTTTAAATGTTCACTTATCTCTTATCTATATAGGCTGACTATAGCTAAAAAATGAATTGATTATTAGTTATTAATTATTATCTATTTCGCTTTGTAATAGATTCAAAACTATATATTATGTACCTTCTTATATATAACAATAAAATAATGTATAACGTGTAAATCTATTATATTTCCTTTTTATTTTGGCTAATTTTGATTTAATCAAATGCTACCTATTGAAGTATTAAAGATTATATAAATGTGCATGCATTACATTAAATGGAACAGATAAAATCTGGACCTATAAACATTTTATTTGAATTTTAATTAGTTGCCTACAGTATAGGTACGTAAT